CGTAACTTCGACTTTTCGACTTTCGTGTTTTGAAGAGACGAAAAGTAGAAATTATGAATGGTAGTTATACTTATAGGCTTCCATACATTCCCCTTATCTCTAAATGTAATTTGTAGGTCCTAATATAGGCTAGATGATTGTTTGTCTGCAATGTTCAGATTATCCAAAAACATTTTCCAACTTTGCAATGCTCCTTATCACCTTGGACAGGGCTGAGGGCAGTTAATTTAATGAGATTAACACGTCAATAGAAATGAATTAACGCGTTAACACTATGTGACGTCATATTCGAATCGGCTGGAAAATGAAAGGGCCTAATTAATTCATGACATTTTATCTTTCAGAAACCACATTGTTTCCAGTCTCCCACTCAGAATCAAGGGTCAAGGTCGAAGGCACCAAATTCGATTTTTTAAAAAACGTTTTCCCGTCAAAATGCCACCTAAATCCTAGAATAAAAATTATGATCAAGAATAAGTTGTTTTTCTACTCACTGAAATGAGTTTAATATGAAAATGGCCATGATTTAGGAGCTTTGATTACTAACATAATTAACGCGTTAACTTAAAATTTTGTAGGAATTTTGAAACTCTCAGTTCTAACCTCGGAAGTTTTTCATTTTCCGATTTAGTTTTAATTCTAGACATTTAATTTTCTCTCTCCTTTACCACAAAATTAGGTTGTCAACACCAACAGAAAATCGTGTCGCTAACCATGCCTTTTGTATATTAAATTTTTTTTTGGTTTTTTTTTGCAATTTAAACATTTATATAATTTACAATTGTAATTTTAAATGATGTATATTTAAGTGTTTTTGTTTGTAATTAAATTCTTTATATATTTGTGCACATCTATGTATATTTTTGTACAATAATTTCTTTATATTATTTAAATATTTAATGAATAGCGTTAGGAAAAAAAATGTTTATATTTTCTATAAAATACATACTTGTCTCTCACACAATACATGTAAGTAACAGGGCATGAACACGAACTTCTCTGATATTATGGACTTTGTTATTTTGTATAAACAAATAGTAGCATGGAAAATAGTAGAATTTAGATGAAAAACAGCTGACTCAAATCTTACGGAAGTGGAGATCATTGAAAAACATTTGAACCTGATCAGACGTATATACTTGATTTTAACAACTGATGTATTATTAATTAACTTTATTAACCAAGGGAACAACACCAGTACGTTGAACTAATAATACAGGCTTTCATGAAATCCCAAGGAAACATATTGATTCTATACCACCTGTATCTCAGCCATAGACGCAAGACTTAAAATGAATAGATGCGGTTCGTTTAACTTGAATGTAGATATTATATATCCATGTTGTATATATAGGACCTTTCGGTTGAATCATATAGAAATATCTTATTTCATAGTTTTACATATTTGTCGACATTAAGGTGTACGTATTGTTCCATTTAGCCTATGCATTTTCTTGTTTCACTTGACTAAACAAAACATTTTGTAGGAATGTATTCTTTTATAGATTGAACAAAAAGCTGATAAATGTTGAGATATGTGGAACAGGCTCGAGGCGATTTGTAACAAATCTAAGGCACGATATATATTTGATACACTGTTAAAATTATATGTATATTTACAGTTATAAGTATAGTAAAAATACAGTGCAGGATTTGTCAAATCACATGGTTTGTTAACTTACATTTTAAATGATGTCGATGCATATGAATACAAGGCTTATGTAAAATTACATCAAATTTAATGTAGTAATACAACCACATGTTAGTTTACATTATATGAGCTGTATATTAACAGAATTGCCGTTTGAAGTATTATTTTTACAGAAAATTGTAAATTTACTGTCAAATAGTGGTCACATCGGTTATTCCCCCTTTGACCATATATCGAATTTTTTGTGCAAAATATTGACTGTTCTGGCAGTCACTTTAGTCAATTTTAGAGAAATAGGCTATTCAAAATCTGAATGCACCAAACTGGCTAATAAAGACATGCATATGCCACACATTGAGTTGTGTGGGGAATTTTGCTTGAACGGTGTCATGCCACCTACTCTTCCATTGTAAGGAGCAGACACGTAGCCCATTAAACCCAATTTCTTTATTGTCTGCGATATCACCTCGGTGGAAGCGGACGTAAAATACAACTAACTCACACAATTTCTTTACATTATCGAATGTTGTGTTACGCGCTCGGCTGAAAGTTCCGTAAAACTTTCTGTGTTCGCCAGGATAGAACCTAGGACTAATTAGCCAAGTGGGGACAAACACATTCCTTTTAGTAATGTTACCTTGGCAAATTACATAATATATAATTCTACTATAGTTATGAGGTATTAATACATATACTCTGTCAAAATATACAATATTATTTTGTATTAAATGTTATTGTACAAATTTATGTAAATTAAAATCATAATTTTACATGTACTCCATTTACAGATATGTAATTTTACCTTGGATGTTAATAGTTAGAGGTAATAGATACATTACAGACTGTGAAATAACATGCAATGTTAAAATTAAGTTATAACGATGGCAATATTTCTGCCAGTTAAAAATACATAATAATGTATAATAATTTTAACAGTGTACAAGTTGAGCATCAAAACAACATGATAATTTCATTGGGAATGGGGCGCAAATACCCAAAGGAGTCGGACAAACTCTAAAGCAAATGCGTCTCCTTCACTGGGCCCCTTCAATGTATGTCTACCCGTGGAATAACATGTACATTATTTGTATCTGTTAAATTTGTGCGGTTTATATATTAGATTAAGTTTGGGATATCAAGTATTACGAGGTTATCCAAATTACCGGTAAATGCGCTAATTTCTTGAGTCATCTTCATTTGACACGTGGCCTATTTAAACAAAGGCAGCTTAAAATGATCTACGGCATGATACGGCATTTTAAATTCACTCTAAAATATTCCAATCATAAATGTTTAATCTATACCAATGAAAGACGATAATTCGGTGATTATGATCCGGCCAGTCACGTGGTAATTGGACCGTCAATAGACGCTTGTCCAATTGCCGTGTGTATTGATAGTGCGATATTGTACATACGGTGAAATATTGTATAGATAATGTATATCCTATGTGTAGTGCCTGTGACGTCACCAGCCAATCAACCGGATTAAGGTCGTAATTGAAAAATCGAAAAGCGTTTTGGCGTGTCGGATACTTAAACGTTAACAGCGGACTTAATTTTAATTAGATTGGTGTGAACTTGCCGTAAAGTTGATATAGTGACCATGGGCTATACATACATGCAATTTAGATTTTTGATCTTATGTGGTCTTTAAGCACGGCGACAGTCCAAAAAGAAGTAAAGAAAAAATAGTTTTTTTACACACTGGTTGACTGCATTTCTCTACTCCCATAAATAATAGGCAATATCTCCTGTACACCAGACCTATCTACGAACACGACCCCAAACTCCCGTCTCGTGGACATAAAAGAACGCCGATTTAGTTGACATAGTCGAAACCACCCTGGACTTGAAAATCAAAGGAAGCCTAAGACTGGAGGAATAAAAAAAAGTCTGCGTTATAAGTTTTTAGCAATATGGTCATTCTTTGATGTCTTGGATTTCCAACGCTTAAATAATCAATCAGAAATACCGATTTTGACACCATCCGCAGTATAAGTCGCCAATAGCCTTTTAAATAAATTCAACATCCGTGTGTAGCTTAAACGCTTATTATTTTTTTCCCCAGCACTGTAACCCGTCTGACATTTATTAAAGGGGCATTATGTAAGATTTAGTTAAAGAGTTGACCGTTCCCGTTATAATATTTTAAAAATAGATAATGCAAAGTGAATATATTGAAAATTTTATTCATGTTATTTTTTTTAATGCGAAGTTATCAATGGTAGTATTTTTGACAAGATGTGTGCATTTATCGTAACCACCGTACTGGTTATTTCGAGTCTAGCCTCGCTTTTCCATTTTTAAATTAAATCATTAAATGGCAGAACGATTATAATCGACTTAAAATCGGGCATCCGATGGCATCCAGAGTTGATTATGGTCATGTGTTATTAAATGTCTAATTAATAATTTATATAACATTTAAGGTCCAAAGAAAGACTTGCAATTTAATGTAGTAAAAATGAAGTTTTCGGTTATTGCATGAAAATTTGCCCATTTTGATACAGAGATCAAATTTGTAAAGGGCACAGCAAAGTTCCAAGATCAGTCGGTTTTATTTGTCTCAAGAAAAATAGAAAGATAATAATATGTTTCATGAAAGAAAGATCACATATTCGAATTTGAATAAGTTCTGCACTCCTGAGAAACCAACTAAATGCGAGGAGACACTCAGCAATAGTTATCTGTCTTAAAAGCACATCTCTCAATTAAGAAATGATCAAACATGAAAGTCAGATGTTCCACTGTGATAAGATGGGTTTTTTTCTTTATTGGTTTACCCTATTTAAGCTTACCAACTTCAAGGCCATTTTGACCCAACGCAGGAAAGCTGTGTGTTCGTCAGAAAATGGCCATTCTTGGCAAGTGACAACCGACCTTGAAAAATCCCGAAGTGTCTTCGAAAGCGGTTTCAATGAATTGTAGCACAGTCATAGTCATGTTGCTGTGTCCAGATTCGTAAAAGTTACTGGACATTTTGACTCAAGTACATCGTTTAAGAACAATAATGGTTGGTATTTGACATTGGGTGATTGTTATGTGCATGATACATAGAATGGAAACAGCTGTAGAGGTATTATAATAAACCTATATTACATCTATCAACAGTGCAGCTTTTGTCGATGTTATCTACATTTTTTTTTCTTCTGGCAATATACTGAAGTTGTTTGGCATAGTCACGACTGTACATATAACATAACCTGTACCGATTGCCAGTTCGTAAACCACATACCCCAACTCGTGCTTCCGATCACATCATCGGTTATTTCCGCCACGTTCACGGAAATTAGCATGCAGTGTATGTAACTGTATTCTCGGTATAGACGATTCTCGATAGTGGTTGAAAACGACGAAGTGGCGAACTAACTTTAGTCACTGAGTTTTATTTTTGTCGTTTATATTTTAAAATGAATAATGATATTGTTTCGGTGTGTTTAAGAAGAAGCAACACTGCCACGCCATGGGGATTTAACATGCAAGGTGGAATAGATTTAGGTTCTTGTTTATATATTCAAAAGGTAGGTTTTCACTTGGTTCTATCGCCTCTCTGTGTTTGTTTTCGTGGTATCAGGTTTCTTACCTGAATCTCAACCATCAGTTATTACGACAACTTTGAATAGCTGTATTTTCATATAATCTCTGAAACACATTTAAGCGCATGGTTAATAATAGAAAACAGAACCAGAAAACTATCGTCCTAGACAGAAAACGCTGAAAGAGAAGAAAAGTGTTTAATGATATACATGAATTAAAATTTAATGCTTTATTCAAAAGAGAAAAAAAGGTGAACATAAACTTTTTGAAAATATATATGTAATTGCTATCATTAGGGTACATAAAGTTAGGACTTTTGGCTCTCCATCAATTTATGAAAGTTTTACTTATTTTAATCGTCTCACAGAGAGGAAGTACAGAGTTAGAGAATGTTTCAAGGTGCCCGAGACACGACAACTGCCAAACATATTATTCTAATAAAACATGATAACCAGATAATAGCGGTTTGTGAGCTGATTAAGATATGTTGTATACGAAACAGCTGAGAAATCAGGCCGAGTCTTTCTGAAGAAAGAGGATCTCGAGTCAATTGCGCATTGTGTCGTTTTGTGAGCACATTTTCGGTCATAGGTCACACGATACATACTTGAAACATCCTGAAAATTCCAACCAGGATATTTTGTTATGTCAGGGTTGGGTATTGAATGAAATTCAGATGACAGATAAAATTGTAGGATTATTTTAAGTCTACGGAGAAAGGAACAGTGGACATTCATGAATATTTCAAATTTCAATCCATTGTCACTGACTTTAGTTACCAGTTTAATTGTCTTTTTTTGTCGGTTACTTCCCGTGCGAATTATGCTATTATTATGGGGACGTAAAACAGTTTGCAGGGCGCATTGTAGGATCTTGTAGGGCACATTGTATAATCTCTCTCTATTTCCTTATCTCTGACAATCCAGAATTGTTTCTGCTAATTGAATGGACCTCGTGCTTCTACGTGGAGCCGGGAGTGGTATATTATAGTCACCATTTTATGTGGATAATGTTGATTTCACTAGTTGTAAACGTGGTCTTTGTCAGTTTTAACCTTTGATAATAATACACCAAATGTATAGAAGACACTTTACAGGGTTGTTTTCCTATTAACATGTTAATAAAAACAAGCGTACTATGGACCAGGAACCGAGTATGATGTCATTGCCGTCATCTTGGAATTGTGATGTCAAATTAAAAATTGGAAGTACGTCAATCGATGCTCAATTATCGAAGGAACAATCGGCTTTTTGCGAAGAGCATCGGATCGACCCCAAGAATACGAACAACAATATGGGTAGCATTTGGGGACCAGTTCCAAAAGATAGAGATCTCAAGTACGACACAAGCATAGAAATCGGTGATTAATCAAAATTCCATTCGTCATAATGCAAAGTTAAGATAGTCGTAACAGTATGCGAACATTATTGCCCCAATTCGTGTAACATATAAACCACGGCAGTTATGTTGGTTACTGAAGTTTAGAACGTAAAACTACTGTTTCGTAAGGATGATATGCTTATAATTATTTAATATCAAACAGGTTTGATTCACAATTGGGATAAAAGGTACAAGCTGATGGGCACCATGTTGATCCTTATGTATATTACACCAATATATAGGATATGGTAGTTATTGATAATAATCATCATCTAACCGCTTGTAAAATAACACGATTATTATATGTCACATTTAAAGGTCACATAATATTTGACATTTCTCATACAGGAATTAGAAATAGAACACACGTGTATAAAGCATTTTTTAAATGGTTCGTCAGCACCAAATATTGGCCATTTCTAGACTAAATTGCTATATTTTTTTTGTTTGTAAAAGTGTATCTCAATTGAATGTAGGCTACTGCCGGGTAGCTTCCTCGTGTTGAGGTTACATTAACGTGTTCTATTAATTTCTATATATGGACTTATCTTTGTCAACGCCAGGGACTTTATTTAAGAGTCACATCTAAACTGTATACGTCACTGCCGAAGGAAATAGTTATAATGAGCTGTGAGTTAGGTCAATTATTCTTAAACTAGGAAATATCAACTTGATGACACGTGTCTATATAAGTGGCATGCCAATTGAATAAAGTCATCGGTGGATTGTATATTGAAATCCCGGAATATTGCGAAGTTTCACTTTCCAGGAAAGTCATCTCTAAAGTTCATAGAGACAAAACAATAAAAAGCTTATACATGTAGGTCTTAATCAACTTATAGCTTACATACTAAAAAAAATATCAGACAAAAGTCTCCTATCTTGCATCTCCCATGACCTTGTTTCGTTTGACTGTGCCATGAAATAACACTAATGATAAAATCAGCTTGTAATTGGCTTATTGGCAACAATTGCATTACCAGGAGAGTGTTTTATACAAAGGTCTTCGTATCACTTACGTTATTAAGTGTAAAGGGGAAATATATTCAATATTATAATAATATTGTTTTTCTCCATTTCATGCGTGTTGGTGGTATCCTGAATTATTGAAAGAGAGCAGACCTCGCCCTACATGTCTGAAAAAGCAGTTCATGGGTTTTTTTTTGAGTGTATATGACTCGTACGCGTGGTCTTCAAAATATTGACATTTGTTAGTATGTAAGAGCTGATATCGGGTATATATTGTGGTTTACACCTAATTGCTACCACTTGAGTGAAAAGCGCGCGAATCTTTCTTCGTTTCTACTTTGTGTTGATAATATGTTGTGTATAAGAAATATCGTATTACCCATATTGTGCCAAATATAGGTAACGCTTTATTAAAAGTAATGCCATGGGTGGCGCAAAATGAATGCCCAGTGCACCCCAACTCCCTCCCCATTCGACCGGAACTTTAGTATAGACATTGAGCAGGTGGTATCCACGCCTTTCAGAAATGGAACGGTGCCATACACATTTGGTCATTCCTGGAATACACTTGTAACCTAGTTACCTCTCTGATTTTCTAGAAGACATAATGTTAGCAAACTGAATCCGCCGTATCATGTGTGTAACGCTGCACATGTTACTGCTTAGTCAATATTAGCTGGGGTGAGGTATTAATAAGTTATTCAATAGGAGATCTCATCTGGCATGTTGATAATCTATCAGTGGCCATTACATTTGTGTAATAACTTAAGTAAATGCTCACAATATTGTGCCAAAAGGTTTATGTACATTACATTATTTGATGTGTTGACCGGTTATTCACTTGGACTACGAGTGTGTGTGGGTGTTCGCGACATAATTAAGATGGAGAAAACGGGAAGTATTTTTATATGTTGGATTTCATGGTCATGAAGTTTAAACTCAGACGTTTTAGTTCTTTAGAGGAATAATCAAGTTAAGTGATAACTTTGCTGAACATGTCAGGTCGACCAAAGAAAATAGCATTTGAAACAAAATTGTGTCACACAATTTTCTGATAACCAAAACTGTATTACATACACAAAATTTAAACTGATTTTAAAAAAGTTGCACTATGTCGAACTTTGGTATTTTAGTATCAATGAAACACACACATACACACCGTGATAAGTTTATCTATATCCACATGGAACTGTAAAAAAACAAGAAATACATTATGCATTATATTATAATTTCCAAGGTCGTTTTGAAGGACAACGGTGCCAGATTACCAGATGAGATTGAAGTTGTATTGAAATAACGAGTGCTTTCTTTATTGGTTGACTGGAGTTCTCTAATCAAAATCTTTCTTTATTACAAAATTTCCTGCACAAATGCGTCTTTGGATTATCGACCCAGACAATTACTTTAGATTTTGGTTGTTGTGCAAGGTCGTCAAACTCTATACATGAGATGCATACTGCAATCCGATACAATTTACCCTATAAATTAAAATCTTAACAGTTTCCATACTGCCATATGCAAATTTTGATACCTTTTCTTTAATTCGGTGACATCTTTTAGACGTAAAACATGCCCATTATCAAGCAAATGTTTCCGATTACAACTAAAGTTGACTTATAACTGAAAACAAAATATTATCAGTTTCAGAGATTTGGTCTAGATTTTTTTGTAATGTTGATTTACGTTAATGTATGGTGTTCGGTCTGTCTCCTATCATGTTTTTTTACATGTAAGCTAAATGATACTAACAAAAGTGTCATATTATATAATGGAGAAAATACCTACATGTAAACAGGTATATAATTGGTAAATAGGATCCCTTTACTAAAGCAAAAATTGGTATATTCTATACTGGTTTTAGACAATAGAACATCTTTTGACTAATATGAAATGAGAATTAACGTGCCACTGTTCTGCTCCGACTGGGCTAATGAAGACGTGCATACGCCATACAGTGTGCTACGCACGTATGAGGAAAATTTTGCCCGAACAACGGCGTTACGGCCTACTCTTATATCGAATTCCAACTGTCAAGGGATCTTTTACGTGCTCGCCAATGTGTACATGGGACCTCGGATTTTCGTCCTATCCAAACGACTATACGTTGTCCCTTGCCAGGCCCGCTGTCCTACATCACTGACAAGGAGGAACCACGTCGGAAAATCCAGATGAACTTTCTCGGCCAACGAAGGGATCGAACAAGGAACCTCCGGGCTATAGCGAGCTGACATCTTACTCACTGAGTCACCGTGGCTCCCTTCTGAGTAATATCATCACTGATATGATGTTTTATGTTTGTCTTTTCCAAAGCATAATCTGTCTCGAGCATGACACCTGTCATTACTTCACAGGAACATTCATAGATTTACGTCGACTGTTATTTTTTTAAGATCCTAAAACAGTTATAATAAGATAAACGCGAACTAAAACAAAGCCTTGTTTGATAAAAACTCCTGATGGTAATGAGCCAACCAGAGTGGGTTTATCATCTAGATTATTGCGACGCCTAATTTAGTTTCAAATGATTACAATATCTCACAACAAAAGCAACACTTATATTGTAAAAGCATAAAGCACTATTTGTATGCAAAACAAGAATTTGTCTTCATTTTTGAAAATGTTTATCATCTCAGGC